TCACCTCAGCCTCCCAAAGGCGCAGGATTACAGGCTGAGCCACCGAGCCTGGCAGTTATTTTTTAACTGATTTTAGAGATGGAGGGGTCTTTCTATGTTGCCCATGTTGGTTTCAAACTCCTGGCCTCAAATGATCCCCCCACCTCAGCCTCCCAAGTAGGTGTGAATATAGGCATATACTACCACATCCAGCTAATTTAATTTTATTTTTTAAAAATTTGGGGCTGGGCATGGTGGCTCACACCTATAATCCCAGCACTTTGGGAGACCGAAGTGAGAGGATTGCCTGAGTCCATGGGTTTGAGACCAGCCCCGGGCAACTTGGTGAGACTTCATCTCTATAATAAATTAAAAAATATTAGCCGGGCATGGTGGCGTATGCCCGTAGTTTCAGCTGCTTGGAAGGTTGAGGTAGAAGGATCACTTGAGCCCAGTAGGTTGAGACTTCGGTGGCCGCGAGGGTGTCACTGCACTCCAGTTGGGCAACAGAATGAGATTCCAACTCAAATAAATAAATTATTTTAGAGATGAGGTCTTGCCAGGTTGCCTAGGCTGGTCTCAAACTGGTGGCCTCAAGTGATCCTCCTACCTCAGACAACTGAGTAGCTGAGATTCTAAGTTTCACACACATAATTTTTTCCCTATTTCGGGATAGGTATGGGAGTTGGAAGATCAGATAAGCTAATACATGTGAAAGAATTTGGTAACTTGTAAAGTACTATATCAGTGAAAAGTATATTACTCCTGCTACCAAGAACGTGAATCATCAGATTAGCTACCCCAAAGGAAACGGGCTACAAAAGGAAGGTGTTACAGAAGCAGCTAGCTGGCAGAAGGTAATGCAAAGCAGTGCAACCGAAGAGCTCGTGTGTAGTCTGTCAGTTCCCCTGTTGTAAATCCCCACGGTGGCAGACGGCGTGGAATCTGCTGGGGGGAGCCTGGACGAGTCGGCATCAACACGACCCTGACAGAGGGAGTTCCAGAATCCAAAGACGACGTGGCATGTAGTGAAGTGGGGACAGGGGCTTTGATGGCCTGGACCAGGGCACGTGGGGCAATGTTAAAGAGAATGAGGGCAGTGCGGAGACTGGAGAAACCTCCTGCCTGCCCTTACTTCACGCTGTCCTAGTGGCCTGCCCTGACACCCAGGCAGAGGAAAGGAGCTTCCAGAGAACACTTGGCCTGCACGCGCCGCCGAAGTGACGTCAAAAGAAAATACCCTGCAATCAATCCAACACCTGGGGCGGACTCCTGGGCCCAGCGGGGGTCCCTCTTCCTGCGGGACTCCAGATATGCCCCGCCTCCAGGCGCGGCCCCTCCTCCAGGCACGGCCCGCCTCCCGACACGGCCCGCCTTCAGACACGCCCCTCTTCCTACAGGACTCCAGATGCGCCCCACCTCCAGATATGCCCTTCCACGGCGAGACTGGACACGCCTGCCCCGCCTCCAGGCACAGCCCTGCCTCCGACGTGACCCCGCCTCCAGACTTGGACCCTCCTCCTGCGGGACTCCAGACACACCCTGCCTCCAGACACGACCCCGCCTCTTGACACAGGGCCACTTCCTACTGGACTCCAGACACGGCCCCGCCTCCTGCCGGAATCCAGACTTGCCCCGCCTCCAGACACGCCCTGTCTCCTGGGTCGGGCCACGAGGTCTGCCTGCTTTCTGGCCGCGAATTGCCCTTCCGCGGATCTCAGCTCAGACCTAACTCAGGCCAAGTGCGCACCCCGGAGGCGTTTCCTCTCCCTGGACTTACAGACTGCGGTCCCCGTACAGGCCAACGCTCCCACGCGGGGGGCTGGCTCAAGGGGTCTTTCTGCTTCTTTTGCCCCAAGCCAGACCTCTACCCCCAACGCAGCAAAAACAGCTTAAACGGAAAGACGCGTGAACGCCGTCGGACCTTCCTTGGCGCGCGGACTTCTCCGCAGACAGAACAGCGATCTCGTCCTTCAGGGTCCGCAGCTGCTTCTCACAGTCGGCCGTGGCCTCCGTGCCCCTCGGCTCCGCGCTGCGCTTCCCCGGGCTCCGCTTCCCCGGGCTCCGCTGCTCCGCGCTCCGGGGCTCCGGCCGCCGGCTCTCCGAGTTCCTGTGATCCGCGCTTCTGTGGCGGGCATCCTCCTGGGCTTGCAGAGTCTTGAGCCTGGACAACCAAGAGAGAGGGCGGGGAGGAGGGAGGGGAGAGGAGAAGAGGGGAGGGAGGACAGAGGAGAACAAGGGAGGGGAGGGGAGGGAGGGAGGGAAGGACACGGGAGGATAGGAAGGGGTGGGGACCACGGGGATGGGGTGGGAGGTGGGGGGGAGGAGGCGGTCAGCAAGGGTTGGCAGGCCTGACGACCAAGGCGGCTCTACCCAGCCTGCCTCCACTGCGTGGGGAACTTGGATGGACACGGACACACAGCAGGAGCACAACGCACAGGGTGGGACCAACGTGTCTGCGTTTGCAGGGGAGACGGTTCCAAGAGAAAGGGGGGACGTGAGCAGGAGGAGGCAGGCCTACAGCTTTTGCCCCACACCACACACAGCTTTGAAGACAGCTGGCCTCCAAGACCCGGCCATAGGCTCTCTGAGATAAAGGCCTCTACCCTCACAGGCTCTCCCAGTCTCTAAACAGATGGAACACGGGGAAACTGCTGTGGAGACGGATTAGCCACCCCAGGACCCGCGGGCAGCTGGGCCTATGCAAGCCATGTAGCACCAAGACAAGCAGGAGCTTCAGAAGGAAACGGGCACCTTCATTAGGTACAGAGAGGCGTGGGCCGTGACAGGGAGTAGAGCCATCTGCGGGAGCACGCTGGGGTGAAAATGACTAGGTGTGAAGATGCCAGCGAGAGGCGAGAGGCGACAGGGAGAAAGATGCAAAGAGGATACAGAGGTGAGAGCTGCACCAGGAACAGGAAGAGCCAACTGTGCTGCAGGAGATCAAGAGTGATTCGATCCATGGATCTGAGAAGGCATTCCAGACAGGAAACGGGGGTGAGAGTGGTGGGGAGGGTCGGGCAGAGCGGGAGCAAGCCAGGGCACTCCTGATGCCATCAGAACACCGGGACAGGTGAGAAGGTAGTCAGAAGGCATGCGTGCGTATGTGTATGCGTGTGTGTGCATAACATACACCTGCCACCTGTGCTTTTGGAGCAGGGAATCAAAATCAAAATTAAGGTCCAGAAGGGCATCACCTTAAAAGATCAGAGTTCGTTTTCCCTTTATAAAAACATATCTTTAAAGAATAATCTGAAACTTAAATTAAGATTTCCACAAATATTATCCCAGTGTTCTTTCCAATGTTGAAAATTAGCCTACAAGTAAATATCCAGTAGCAGGGAAATACCCAGATGGTAGAATGTGGTGAACTTATTTGAAACTAAGCACTGCAATATTTTTTGCTTAGTGATCAAGAAAAACAATGTCAAGTGAAAAGGTTCAAAATTGTATACGTATCCACTTCATTCCGCACGCTCAGCTCTATTTGTAATATATTAATTGGAAAGACTATCTCACGGTAGCAGTGGCTGGCTCTGGAATTATGAGAGATTTTTATATTCCCATAGACAATGTTGTACTTTGGAATTGTCTCTAGAAGATAGGTAATATTTTGTAGTAAAAAAAAATGAAAAACATTAATAAAAATATCACTGCCTTTTCTCTCTGATTGGGAACAGACTCTTTCCTATGTAACCAAGTGGGAAAAGGCAAAGTCAGTGGTTAGACAGCAGCTGCAATAGTCCTGTCGTTGGTCTCTTACTGCTTTTTTAGCTGATTTATTTCCTCCTCTGCAGCCAAAAGCGATATGGCCGATCTGTTCTTGGTTTCTTCAAGAGTCTTTTCCGTTTCAGCCAGACTGCAAGAGAAATCAGTAACTAAAGACAGATTTTTCAACATTGGCAGACCTTCTAAACCAAGGCATAGGCTCTTTCAGAGACTTTTGGCATACAATATTCATTCAGCATACACAAGACCAAGTTATGAGACATCTGTGTTCAGTCAGATAGCATGGTAAATGTCTTAGTAGGCTCATATGCAGAAGCATACCAACATCCTTTGCTCCATGTCAAAACATAAAGAAATTACAGGACTACTTCCTCAAAAGACTATAACAATTCAGAGAGTGCCAAAAATGTATACACATTTTAAGAAAGGAAAAAACTATTAAAATTGTAATACTCAATAAGATGAATGCAAGTCATGTATGACTTCTGCAATTGCAAGAAGGCTCAAAGTGGTTCCCATCAGCGTCCAAACACTTCAGATGATGGCAAACATCTCTTAACATCCCTTGAAATGTGTGTACATTTTTTGGCACCCCGAGATTAGACTGTAAATGTCAAAAAATGTGTTCAATCCTCCTTCTCAGCTGGGCTCAGTGGCTCACACCCATAATCCCAGCACTTTGTGAGGTAGAGGCAAGAGAATTGCCTGAGTCCAGGGGTTCGAGACCAGCCTGGGCAACTTGGCGAGACCCTGTCTCTACAATTAACAGATAAAAATACAAAATAAGCTGGGTGTGGTAGTGTGTGCCTGTGGTTCCAGCTACTTGGAAGGCTGAGGCAGAAGACTCACCTAAACCCAGCAGGCTGAGGCTATAGTGGCCATGAGTGTGCCACTGCACTCCAGCCTGGGCAACAGAGTGAGATTCCAATTCAAAAAAGAAAAAAAAAAATCTCCCTTCTCAACCTCCCAATTCATCTGCTCCAACCACACCAAGTCCCCAGGTTTTGCTTCTCTAGAAAAATCTCCTTTTTCCTGCACTGTACCAATGTTATTTCTCATTTCCTTGCACTGCAGAGCTGCATGTGATGTGCTTATCCCAGACTTCCTAAATATTAAAAAAAAAATGACATGCCCACCCACAAGGAGAGCCCTCCACAATCACACATGCCTCCTGGGCACTTCCTATCTTCCTGCCTCTGACTGCCACCAGGTCCTGACGGCACCGTTTCTGAACTTTCCCACAGCTCAGGCGCTCAAGAACTCCCTTCACTGTGAACCATCCCAAGGCACACTCTCTCTGTAGGTCTACCTACATGTTGAAGAGGGCGGGAGGGGGTGGACGACACTGGGTAAAAGGTCACTGGTTCTCAGGGTACTTGCCCAGAATGAAAGGCACTGAGTTGACAGAAGTTTCTCGACTCTCTACCCCAGCTCCCCAGAGCACTGCAGTGGTCCTAGGCCAGGAGAGAGCATGGCCAGTAGGGAGCCCAGCCTGGAGGGAGCATGGCAGCAAGGAACACAGTGGGAGGGAGCACAGCAAGGAGGAGCATGGTTAGGAGGGTGCACAGCAGGAGGGAGTATGTCTGGGAGGGAGCATGGCAGGAAGGAGCACAGCCAGGAGAGAGCATGGCCAGGAGGCAGCACATCCTGGAGGGAGCACAACAGGCAGAGGGCACAACCAGGAGTGAGCGCAACCAAAAGGAGCACAGCTAGGAGGGAGCACTACCAGAAGGAGGACAACAGAGAGGAAGTATGACTGGGAGGGAGCACAGCTGGGAGGAGCATAGTGGGAAGGAACATGGCCAGGAGGAGCACAGTCAGGAGGGAGCACAACCTGAGGTGAGCACAGCTGAAAGGAGCACAGTAGGAGGTAGCATGGCTGGGAGGAGCACAGCTGGGAGGGAGATGGCAAGGAGTGAGCACACTTGGAAGGAAGCACGGCCAGAGGGAGCATACAGCAGGGAGGGAGCACAGCCAGGAGGGAGCATAGCCGGGAGGGAGCACAGCCAGGAGCAGCACAGTGGAGAGCACTACCAGGAGGAGCATGGCAGGAAGGAACACAGGAGGGAGCACAATCACGAGGAGTATAGCCTAGAAGGAGCATGATTGAGAGGATCACAGCCTGAGGGAGCACAGTCAGGAGGGAGCACAGCTGGGATGGAGCATGCCAGGATGAAGGACAGTTGGGAGGAGCACGGCTGTCCTCCAAATGCACACTAACCTTCCCCCTCCCTTTAGAAGGAAGAACAGCAGAGAGTAAAACACTGAGATGTTCACTCAGAGCATGAAGCAGGTGGAGGAATGATGGGCTGACAGTGCCCCCAGCCAACCCTACAGTGTCCAACCAGATGCTTCTCACAATCCCACCTGCCACTTCTCCCCCAACAAGTGCCTCCTCAGTGAGCACCCTCTGCATACATCCCTTGTCCCTCCTAAGCAGAGCAAGCCACTCTTCTCCTGAGTCCCAGGCACATTCATGCTGAGCTGCTTGGGGGCATGGGTGCTGATTTATTCATCTCTACTCCTGCACCTAAAATAGTGCCTGTCACATAGATGATCTTTTTTTATTAATGAAAAATGAATGAATGCATGAACAAAATGTCTGAACCCTAAAAGAAAGCTCAAGTGGCATTAACTTCATAATACAGCTACTGGAGGCTGACAGGAAATGAGTGTGATTTAATTCAAATGTGAGCATGCTACAGATTTTAAAAAGTGAATATGGGAAAACAAATGTTTATGTCAAGAGAAACCTGTAGAAAATGAAAAGAAAGTGGACTTGAAAGTAAATGTGTTCAGGAAAAAAAAAACGAACCAAGAAAGAAAAGTACAAACAGGAATAAAGACGTTGTTATGTTTTCTCCATAGTAAACATGTGTGAGCACACACATAAGCAAACATACAAGGGGGATCCGGAATTATCTTTGGAGAGTAGGCCCGTTGAGTACAGGCTTCCCCCGCTAGGTGAGTGTTCCAGGAACCCATCAGCATCAGTGTACCAGCTAGTGTTGTTGTGAGAGGCTGCTTTTGACTTTGACAAATTTTTTTTGGAGATTCTTTTAACTGCCCAGTTTTTGGTGGGTGATCTTCGAGTACACATGCCCATACCATGCTGAGTGTTCAACAGTTTTTTACCAAAAACAGCATGACCCCCATCACCCTATTCATAGGATCTCACCCCAAGCAACTTTTTTGTTTTCTTGGATGAAAAAAGTTCTCAAAGGGAAGTGATTTGCTGATGCGGAAGAGGTGAGCCAAAGAAACTGCAGAAGCACTAAAAAGCATCAAAATTGGCAAGTTCAAAGACTGTTCTGAGCAGTGGGAAAAGCATCTCTATAGGTGTATTATCAAATGGAGAGCACTTTGAAGGTGACTAAAGTGCAAACATGTAGAATAATTGCACCATTTTTTATAAAGTTATTCCGGGATTTTGGGGGCTTCCCTCGTATATCCTAATTTGACGTGCCTGGAGGACACACGGAAAGAAGAAAGAGGACAGTTCTCCCATGGTGAGAATTGTTTTAGTCAAATTAAAATCCTACTTGGATGTTTTGTCACATAGTTGTTCATTCATGGGGCAGTTTATTGACGAGGCACGTTCAGGATGGTGTGGCCACAGACAGATGACTGAGAGCTTAGTACAGGCCAGGCATGCTGCGCAGTGCTGGAGACACAAAGGTGTCATAACAATGAGCCTCTGGGTTGTCCAGTCAAGTGGGGCAGACAGACCATGAACATGTAGGTGCATCTGTGACTGGGTTCCCCGTTGCGTGGGTGCATGATGAGGACACAAGGTCACGGGGACAGAGAGTTGAAAAAGGGGAGGAGAAAGACCTCCCAGGTATGGCAGTCATGGACGGATGTGGAAGTCACATTTTCACTAAGGCCTGAAGGACAATCAAGAGCCAGTCGCGCAGAAAGCCAGCGAAGACTGGAAGGTTCTCTCAAGCCAGAGGAAGGGGTGGCAGCCTCAAGGTGAGGAAAGAGACAGTGGTCCAGTGAGAGGGACCAGCAGGAGATGAGGGTGGAGCAGAAACAGGGCCCACTCAGGGCACTTGGAGAGCCTGAAGAGGAATTTGGAATTTTGTTCTAAGTATAAAAGGAGGAGAACAACAGCTTTTAAGTAGAAGGGTGGCCAGGTGTGGTGGCTCATGCCTATCATCTCAGCACTTTGGGAGGCCAAGGTGGGTAGATTGCTTGAGCCCAGGAGTTTGAGACCAGTCTGGGTAACACAGTAAGATCCTGTCTCTATTTAGAAAAAAAAATTGGTTCCATGGGCCATAGCATCACAAAGAATAAAAGACTCCAGAATAAATTTTTTTAAAAGCAGAAAAGTGAGTTGATACAGTGAAAATTATATATATTTGCTAAGTGGAAATGGGCTGTGGCTGGGCAAGAATGGGAGCTTGAAGCCAGTTGGAAGGAGGTGGCTGACTCGGGTCAGAGAATCTGAGGCATGAACAGGAAGCGAAGGAGGAACAGGAAGGAAGGACATGTGTAAGGGCCAGGAGTAGTCGACAGGACAGACCAACAGATGGGACCTAGGACAGGAATCCAGGCACCAAGTCCAGCATCTTGCCTTGTCTGGGGCCACCAAGCCTGAGCAGAGCTGAGCCTGCCGCCCTGAATTCTTGGAATCTGCACCCTCAGAACTGAGTTGGAACGCAACAGGGAGCCTCCTGCTTGGGCCATTCTCTCCTAGCGGACAACCCCGGCCTTGGAGGACATGCAGGAGAGCAAGGAGAGAAAGCAGGCCACTACGGGATGTGGGGGATGGACTGCATCATGTGTGATACCCTCAATTTAAAAAATAGAATAATGGCCAGGCGTGGTGGCTCACATCTGTCATCCCAGCACTTTGGGAGGCTGAGGCAGAAGGACTGCTTGAGCCCAGGGGTACGAGATCAGCCTGAGCAACATAATGAGACCTCTTCTCTACAAAGAATCAAAAAATTAGCCGGGCAGATGGCGCGTGCCTGTCATCCCAGTACCTGAGCCCAGGAGTTCGAGACCAGCCTGGGCAACTTGGTGATGCTTCATCTCTACATTAAAAAAAAAAAAAAATTAGCCAGGCATGGTGGCACACACCTGTAGTTCCAGCTACTTGGAAAGCTGAGGCAGAAGGATTCACCTGAACCTAAAAGGTTGAGGCTGCAGTAACTATGATCATGCCATTGCTCTCTAGCCTGGCTAACAGAGTGAGACTCCTGCTCAAAAAATAAAAAATAAAGTAAAATAGAATAAGAACCACAGGCAGGTTAAAACACAACAAAATGAGCTGGGCACAACAGCTCATGCCTGTAATCCCAGCACTTTGGGAGGACTGCCTAAGCCCAGGGGCTCAAGACCAGCCTGGGCAGCTTAGCAAGACCTTATCTCTACAATAAATCAAAACAGACCTGCCTGGGCAACTTGGTCACACCTCATCTCTACAATAAATCAAAAATTAGCCATGTGTGGTAGCGCGTTCCTGTAGTTCCAGCTACTTGGAAGGCTGAGGCAGAAGGATCTCCAGAGCCCAGCAGGTCGAGGCTACGGTGGCCGGGAGCAGCCACTGCACTCCAGTCTGGGTGATAGAGTGAGACTCCAACTCAAAAAAAAAAAAAATCAAACTATTAGCCGAGTGTGGTGGCATGCACCTGTGGTTCCAGCTCCTCGGAAGGCTGAGGGGAAGGATCGCCTGAGCCCAGTAGGTTGAGGCTCCAGTGGCTGTGAGCATGCCCCTACGCTCCAGCCTAGGCAGCAGAGTGAGACTCTGATTCAAAAAACAAACAGACAAATAAAAAAACCACACACACAATAAGTGGAGAAAACCCAGGGAAAATCAGCAAGCACTTACTGTAGGCAACTTTCATGGCTGGAGGATGGAGTTGTGGAGAGAGAGAGAGAGTGAACATGCACAAAAATGAGGAAGCAAATAGGGCAAAAGGTCTATGAAAGGGTGGATGGGTGTTCTTGGACTGTTCTTGCCAATTTTCTGTGTCTGAAGTTATTTCCAAATAAAAACTTTGAAAACAAGTATGGGCTGGGTACAGTGACTCATGCCTATAATCTCAGTGCTTTGGGAAACTGAAGCAGGAGGATTACTTGCACTCAGAAGTTCGAGACCTCATCTCTACAAAAAATAAATAAAAGAATTAGTTGAGCATGGTGGCATGCATTTGTAGTCCCAGCTACTTAGGAGGCTGAAGCTGGAGGATCGCCTGAGCCTAGGTGTCAAAGCTGCAATTAGCCACGATCATGCCAGTACACTTCAGACCGAGACCCCCTTAAAAAAAAAAAGCATGTATTCACAATGTTTCTTGATCTGCAGAGCCCCTGACAGGTAACAGCCAAGCCAATGTAACAAGAAAGAGAAGAAGGAGGTCATGGCCTCAGAACTAGAGGCAGATGGAGGTGCCCTGGCACCTGTGGCAACTGCCAGAGAATGTCCCAGAAGACAAGGCACAACTCAGGGCCCATCGGTTTAAGACACTAGTTGCCCAGCTGGAGCCAAGACCAGCAAGAGCCCAGAGGGCCATAAAAAGCCCTAAGTCCCTGGCCACCAGCACCAGGAGGTACAAAGCATCCCTCCTCCCCAAGATGCCAACCAGAGAAAGGGTGGGGAAGGAGCTTCCGGAGAGGGCAACGCCAGCCCTGAACCATACCTGCACTTGGAATTAAGTGACTATTTACACTAAAGGGGCCACAATAAACTGAAGAGTGTGTTCCCTTGAAAGGGTGAATTTAAAGATCTCCTCCCCCTCTCCCAAGTCAGTTGACAGTGAGTGAAATAAATGGTAGCTTTGAGGTTGCGTGCATGTCACTTTCGTCAGTGTTGGCGGCTGCAGCTACGCAGCTGCCTGTCAGCTGTGATCCCTCGGGAAATGCTTGGGTGTAGGGCTGAGCAGGCCAAGCCCAGAAAACATGTGGACTGAAATACACCAGTGTGAACACTGGCCATCCCCGCAGCGACTCTTAACTGTACATCTGTCTTTGTCGTGTGCATTTTGAGAAGGATAGTTGTGTTACTTTCATCATCAGGCAAAACTCAATCAATAGCGGTGTCTTCCTTTTGAGAAGAAAGGGAAATCTCATCACAGAGCAAAGCAGAGCGCAGCACCTGGCTCCCTTGCACGCCTCAGCCAGCCAAAAACAAAAACAAAAAGACGTCCTTGCTGTCCAGCCACAACCTGGGATGCTGGGGTTGGAGGAACCCCATGTGGGCAGAGTCCTGCTCTGTGGTCAAGCCCAACTGCCTGTTTGTCTAACTCCCAGAGCACAGACCAAAAGTCAGCCTCGTTCTCTGCGGGTTTCCCAGAACTGGCAGCCCACTCTGCCCACCATGGGCATCTGACATAGCCCAGCATGTTCAGCTTTCTCTTTGAATATGGTTTTATAATTAATCACTATCCCAAAGCTTTGAGCTGCCGTCCCCTAAGACTCTGACTCCGCCAGCGGTCACACTTCCCAATGCGTGTGACAGACAGACAGATGCACCTGCCCCACTTCCCTTCTGCTCCTCCTCTGAATCTTCCCCTCTCCTGAGTCTCTCCCTATGTCACTCTTTTCTTTCCACATCTGTTTTGAAATTTTTCTCCCAAAGGTAGATTTTCTTCAAACAATCTTTGCCTGTTTATGAATAAAGGCTGATGATGGCCTGTGGAAGATGGGACTCAAGAGAGGCTGCCGGGTGCCCGAGGGTGGTGATGTTACACAAACACCCTATTTCCAAGTTCAAAGACTCCCAACTCCCCTTGCCCCCCCACACACACATGCAGACACACTCGCAGATCATATCACTTATTGCAAATGCTAGCTTCTTACATGAGTCGTTGTTCACCTTTCAAATTTAAAACCTAACTGAAATGAGGACAACCCTTCCTGGAAAAAGATTAACTTGCATTCCTCTTACTCGTCTTGAACCTGATTGAGTTGACTCCGGGTTGCGTTCAAGTCAGAGTCTAACTGCTGCATGTCCCGATCCCAAGACACAGAATCTTTGTGTCTCTCCTTATCAAATGTGTCCTGGAAAGAAGCGCAAATCAGAAGACAGTTTGAATACGTGAAATGACAGGGATGAATTGCAAAAACATTCAGCTGAGCAAAAAAAAGGGTTCAGCACCAAAGAGCACATAATGTGTTCAGGCGCGGTAGCTCATGCCTGTCATCCCAGCCTCTTGGGAGGCCGAGACAGGATGATCGATTGAGACCAGGAGTTTGAGACCATCCTGGGCAACATAGCAAGACTTCACCTCTACAAAAAAAGATGAAAAATTAGCCGGGCGTGGTGGCGCATGCCTGTAGGCACAGGTATTCAGGAAGCTAAGGTGGAAGAATTGTCTGAGCCCAGGAGTTTGAGGCTGTGGTGGGCTGTGATCATGCCACTGAACTCCAGCCTGGGAGACAGAGTGAGACCCTGACTCAAGAAAAAAATTAAATGAGAAAGGAGTAAATCCACATAAATGTTTAAGAGTATGGTTACTGATGTTTGGGTTACCCAGGTGGAATGACCCAGATACCTTGAGCCAGGCATGTGTTCCCTTTCCAGCCTGACCTCCAATTGTTCAAACAAGGCCACTGTCCCACAGAAGCCACCAGTGTCAATTACAGCTCATGACACTGTGTCAACCTGCTGGAACTAAGTTCTCTCCCTGTCTAGGAGGTTTCCGGTTCATTTCCAAGAGCCAAGGGACAGCACTCATACCCACCTGCAGTGAGGGGACCCTGCTGTCCACAGGCTTTCCCAGGGAAGCAGCAGTGAAGGAGGACTCCAGCCAGGGCAGGAGGCGCGACTTGATGGTCTCTACGCCGTCATTCCGTCCTCCTGGAAGAACAAACAGGTCGGGAGAAAAGCCAGAGTGCCATGCAGAGAACACATGGGCACCCGGAAGCAGGGGATGGGAGGGAGGGTGGGTGGAAGTGTCATGCCGCCCTCACCTTCCTGGGCTGCTGTTGTGAGGATCCCAAACAGCTGTCCCTGCACCCTAGCAACCTGCTCGATGAGTTCCAGGCAGTAGTTGAGATTCTGATCGCATGTGTTTGTCTGTGAAACAAAAACAGTAGAGATCAGGGCAGCACCCTGGCTCTAGGATCAAGGACTCCCTCAACCTGAGGCCTGCATGGCTCTGGAGAGCTCCCGGAGACAGGACTACAATGTGGCCAACAATGCCCACTTCTCTCTCCTCCTGGACACACAGCCAGGCCACACTCCCGGTTCTTAAGACTTGTGTGACCGGAAATTGAGCTGCGGTTCATGGAAAGGTCGTGAAGTTTGCCCTGTCCAGGTGGGGACATGGGGTTGGGGAGTCACAAGGCTTGCCAGACTGCGGGCCAAACATGTGTGTGGAACATGGTTGAGAAAGTGGGTCTGTGAGTGTCTCCAGGCAGGGACCCTTCAGCCACTATCATGTAAGGTTTTCTGAGATAGTCGACTCGTGGGTGGACCTCATACTCACCTGTAGAGTGAGCTGCGTTGTACCACTGCAGGAGAGCTGTCTACTCACCTGTCTGCCTCGCGCATCTGCAGGTGCTATGCTTCTGCCTTATTCGCTATCATACTTACAACCAGCCACACCTTCTCACTGTTAAGAAGATGCAATCTCAGCCGAGCTTGGTGGCTCAGCCTGTAATCCTGCACTTTGGGAGGCTGAAATGAGTGGATTACCTGAGCCCGTGGGTTCGAGACCCGCATGGGCAACTTGGTGAGCCCTCATCTCCACAATAAATCAAAAAATTAGCCAGGCATGGTAGCGTGCACCTGTAGTTCCAGCTACTTGGAAGGCTGAGGTAGAAGGATCGCCGGAGCCCAGCAGGTCAAGGCTGCGGTGGCTGGGAGCGGCCACTGCACTCCAGTCTGGGCAACAGAGTGAGACTCCAACTCAAAAAAAAAAAAAAAAGATGCAATCTCAAGGCACAAACATTGAATTTATGTAGACAACAGAAGCCACCCTGAGAACAGACCACCCTAAATGCTTCCATTGAGAAAGGAATATAGGACTGGATGCAATGGTTCACACCTGTCATTCCAGTACTTTGGGAGGCCGAGGGAGGAGGATTGCTGGAGCCCAGGAGTTCAAGACCAGCCTGGACAACATAGCAAGGTCTCGTCTCTTCAAAAACTTTGGAGGTCGTTTTATGGCAATAAACCCTACACAAAACCTTGTTATCAAGGGAGCAGACCTTTGCTGCCTGGTCGAACTACTTTTTTGGCTTCTGTTGCTACATAAATTCAATGTTTGTGCCATATGGACATGGAGATTGCATCTTCTTAACAGCAAGAAGGTGTTGCTGGTTGCAAGTATGATAGCGAATAAGGTAGAAGTATAGTACCTGCAGATGCGTGGGGCAGACAGGTGAGTGAACAGCTCTCCTGCAGTGGTACAATGCAGCTCACTCTACAGGTGAGTACGAGGTCCACCCACGAGTCAACTATCTCAGAAAATTGGGAAGACTTCCCAGAGGAAGCAACATTTAGGCTGAGAAGAAATCAGGCAGATTTGAGGAAAGAGATGGTTCCAGCAGTTTGGAACATTCTAAGCAAAAAGAATAGAACGTATGGAGAACAAGGAGTGGGACTCTCTACAGAACTCCACTTTCACCCCTCCTTGGCAGGGTTCTAGCATTTCATTATGACCCAACCCCAAGTGAAGGAACTGGCTGTAAACAACAAACTCATTGCGTGGGTGTAAAAATGCACAGTTCCTGTGTCCCCTCGAGTCACCAGAAAGCACTGGTCACAGGCGCCTCCTGGCACTAGAAACCCCGGACAAGATGCGGGTGGAAGGCAGATAGAAACTGGAAGGAAGAGAACAAGTTCAGACGACCTGCGGGCACATTTATGAGTAAAACGCACATCTGTGACAACGGGAAAATGACTCAGACCTGCCGGGGCTCCTTGGCCAGAGGCTGCCCTGCTCCCTGCTGGTCTCCCAGCCCTGTGTCCTCCAGTGTCCACAGGCTCAGACTTAATCCGTATTGAACGATGAAAGAAAACGAGGTGAGAGCCGAGCATGGTGGCTCACGGCTTCGTCTCAGCACTTTGGGAGGCAGAAGCAAGAGGATTGCCTGAGCCCAGGGGTTTGAGACCAGCTTGGCAAGATCTCATCTCTACAATAAATAAAAAAATTAACCAGGTGTGGTGGCACCCGCCTATAGTTCCAGCTACTTGGGAGGCTTAGGAGGAAGGATCACCTGAGTCCAGCAGTTGGAGCCTGTGGAGGCATGAGCATGTCACTGCACGCCAGTCTGGGTGGCAAGGTGAAACCTCGACTCAAAAAAAAAAAAAAAGGAAGGAAAGAAAACGAGGTGATTCACTCATTTAGTATTTGTTATGCACCTCCTGTATACTAGGCACTGCTGGTGTTTACATACATAAACCCTGTTATTCCCATACTAAGCCACTGTGAGATAGAAGTGCTAATACTATTTTTTCCATTTTCAGATGAGAAAACTGAGGCACAGAGAGGTGAAGTGACTTACCCAAGGCTACCCAGCTAGTAAATTGTTGGAACTGAGGTTGGAACCCCTGTAGCCTGGTTCCAGACCCCGGGCTCAAAGCTATACTGACCTTTAGATCATGAACTGACTTTTAAATCATGATTCATGTTAGGAGTGGAGGGAGGACTGGATGATGGGACAGAGAGGGGACTGGGAGGGCAGCCAGGGAGGGCCTCACTGTGGAGAGGACCCTGGAACAGGACCTGGATGATGAGATTCTTGGAAGCAGAGCACAAGGGGCAGGGCATGCCTGGCAGTGGAAGAACAGGGTCAAAGGCCCAGAGGCAGGAACAAGTTAGGCAGCCCTGAGGACCAAAAGTAGGTCAATATGGCAGAGGCACAGAAGGCTGGAGAGTTGGCAGGACAGACCATGAGGGCTGGTGAGGCTGAGAGGGCAGCCACCTTGGTATCCATGCTTGGTCCACAGCACCTGGCAGCCAGCTCTGCAGGAGCACTGACTTCCTTTGTAGCTGTTCTTTCTCCATCTCTTTCTTTCATCCTCTTCTCCCCCAAAGACCATGCGTTCTCTTTAAAAAATGACCTGGTGCGGTGACTCACACCTGTCATTCCAGCACTTTGGGAGACTGAGTCAGGAGGATTGCTTGAGCCCAGGAATTTGAGACCAGCCTGGGCACCATAGTGAGATCTCATTTCTACAAAAAATAAAATAAGTCAGCTGGATATGGTGGTGCGCACCTGTAGTCCCAGCTACAGAGGAGGCTGAGGTTGAAGAATCGTTTGAGCCCGGAAGGTCGAGGCTGTGGTAGCCATGATCGTGCCACTGCACTCCAGCCTGGACAAGAGAGCAAGCCCACAATTCAAAAAATAAATAAAAATGGCTTTGTCTTTCTCATGTGTGCATCAATTGCTACCAGTAAACCAGCACAGTGAAGAGCTTAGACAATGGTATGACACAATGGTATGACACATTGAAGAGTGTGAGTATGATGTAAGCACACCATTTTGCATGATCAGAACATTTGAAAGCTGTGGCCTGAACTCTCGCCCCAGCCCTTCCTCATTGGCTATGTTACACTTGTGCTTATCACACTGACCGTCACCTGCTGTGTATCCCCTTCACCCGCCAAAGGTGCCACACACCAGGACAGAGGAGGAGCCTGGAAGTCAAGTAGAACTGAGAGCTCCAGCTCCACCACCAGCAGGGTTCTGTGTGATCCTGCCCAAGTTACCTGACCTCCCTGGGCCCTCTTCTCTCCCATAAGATGGGGTAACGATGCCTCACCAAGTGTTGGGAGAATTAAATCAGAATCAAGCGTGTCTAGCAACTTGGGCGTGGATGACACCTAGAATTTGTGTCAGGGTTCAGAAGCAGGCAGATCTCGCGTGCTTTCCCCTGGGAAGGTGGTCCCATCCAAGGCTCCGTCTCCTCCCAGGGCGGTGGTCCATCTCACCACTCGTGTATGTGAAGAGCTTGGCCCAAGGAGGCACACAGGGTCACATGCACGAGGTCCACCTTCCCTGGGTCTGGTTGGCACAGTGCACGCATTGTCCACCACACACTGGGCCAAGTGAGCTTGAACGTGCATCCTAGACAACAGCAGGAGACAGTGTCCCACCGTCTGTTCCTAAGACACGTCCCCACATGCTGCCACCTATCACCAAGCATTGTACACAGCACTCGGGTCACCATGGGGTCATATTATTCTACAACACACCCACCCACATGAGGTCAACAAGGCAAAGCACAGACTCCCCAGACAGATTCATTCATAAATCATTACTTCCTGTTGCCCAGAAGGCCCTGGACTGGCAGCTCAGGAAACACAGCTACCTTTAAAAATAAAAGTTGCCTGGTCAGTGAGCTCACCAGTCGGTGTGGGGGTGCCATCGGGGCATTCATAGTTATCTCAGAGTTCACATCAGGGGCTCCACATGGACATCAAGCTAGAGACCCTGTGGAATGAGCCCTAGGGAGGGGTGTGGGGATGAGGGAGGAGGGGGATTGGAAGCCAGGCCATGCAGGGCCTATGGTGGAGGAGGAGGGGAGCGGCCACCAGGTCCAGATTCCGAATCTGAAAGACCCAACTTGCCCACAGAGGGTTCCAGGATTTACCCCATCACCAAAGGCCCCATGAGGCGATGGGCCATGGGTATGACAATCTCTGCCTTGCTTTGCATCCTGCAGAAATCCCTGTGGCGGAGACAGACCAGATGGAGTCTGGGTCAAAGCGTGCATCTCGGGGAGGCAGACGGCATGGCTGCCTGAGAGATGCCCACAGCTGTGGACAGGCTGAGGGTCCTGGAGGTATTTTCCGGCATCACCTAAGGATGAGGTCGAGGGGTCAGACATGGGAGGGAGTAAGAGGTGTGGGAGAGAGGACACTGAGTCTGGGTTTGGCCAGTTCAGGGGCCGGCGGGACCTCCAGTTGTCAGTGTCCAGTAATAGTAACCTGAACACTTACAAAGTACCTACTGTCTGCCAGCCAGGCCCTGTGCTGGCAGTGCTCTCGAGGCAGCTTCATTCCATCCTCAGGGCAGCCCTACACATGGCACCATCATCCTCCAAAATTCACCAGTAAGGAAGAA